AAGAGCAGCCTTAGTGTCACAGCACCATGAAGCTCAGCAAATCATTTTGGTGGCAAGCAAGCTTCTTAGTTTGAGCACATATTCCTCCACCTCTAAATTTTGGCTCTTGTCAAATACCAGCCAAGTTTTCTTTGGTAACTGGATGCTTTTCTATGGGGGAGGAATAGGTACACAATACTAGACCACTCTGCCTAGTGTGTGCACTTCTCCAGTTTTGAGTTTGAAGCTGTTTTTGGCAAATCTGTTGACCATCACTTGTTGATCTGAGACAGTGCTGGATTTTCCAGTAACGGTGTTATTTTTAACAACTAGATGGTCTGATGGATCAATTCAGTGGCCATACTGGGAGTTATTTTGACTGAAGGATGACAGCACATGTTAAATTAATAACACAGGCCTGTCAGAAAGTTTGGATTTAGCAGAAAATTTTGATCCAAATTACTGACGACCAGAATTGAATTTGCTCTGAGATGCTAACCAGAATCCAACAGGTTTAGTATTCAGTGCTGGAATTTTCTGAGCAGCCAGAAAGGAATCTATACAACCACTTCCATTGAAGATGTGTAGTGCTTTGTCTGGCACTTGTATATTTTTCAATAGCAGAGATTCTTAGAGGTGATATTGGAGGAAGAGAGAGTCCAGGGAGGCGCTATACCCTTGCCCACCTGTGCTGCAGCAGCAGATGGTGTTCTGTCTAGCCCCATGTTTTCCTCTTGACAAAACGAGTCACCTCACAAGATGCTCATGACCAAGACCTCCCTTTTCCCCTGTGACTCCTATAAGGTGCCCAATAAGGTAAAATTGTGGCACAATACCCTTTTTAGATAAAAGCCTCAGAGAATTTCCAGAATAAAGTTTGCCAAAATATCATTGACAAAGTATCATAGATGTTCTCTCAAAGTGTTTCAGAGGTCCTCCTCACAATTCTAGCACCAATAACCATGAAGTGGTGAGTATCCCTTTTAACTAGGATTTGGTCTTGATTACTCCCAAATAACCCATTGCTGTTAGGAGAGGCCAGTAATTGAAACACTAGCCAGCAAAAATTTTGAAAATCACTAGCAGGCACCTTAAGCAGCAAGCAGCTATAAAACAAGCATCCAATTGGCCGTTTCTACTACTGCCTTCAACTTCTTTCTCAAGAGATCATTATGTCTTTAATGCAAGCTAAACCGACATTTCAACTTAAAACCCAAATGTTGACTATCTCTCTACTGCCTCAAGTGTTTGGCAAAATTGTTCCCTAAGAGTTAACCACTTATTATAAGAACATGAGAACATAGGAACTAGGAGCAGGAGTAGGCCATCTGGCCCCTCGAGCCTGCCATTTAATAAGATCATGGCTGATCTTTTTGAGACTCAGCTCCACTTACCCGCCCACTCATCATAAGCCTTAATTCCTTGACTGTTCAGAAATTTATCTAGCCTTGCCTTAAAAACATTCAGTGAGGTAGCTTCAACTGCTTCACTGGGCAGGGAATTCCACAGATTCACAACCCTTTGGGTGAAGAAGTTCCTCCTGACCTCAGTCCTACATCTGCTTCCCTTTATTTTGAGGCGATGCCCCTTAGTCCTAGTTTCACCTGCTAGCGGAAACAACTCCCTGCCTCCACCTTATCTATTCCCTTCATAATCTTATATGTTTCTATAAGATCTCCCCTCATTCTTCTGAATTCCAATGAGTATAATCCCAGTCTACTCAGTCTCTCCTCATAATCCAAACCTCTCAACTCTGGAATCAACCGAGTGAATCTCCTCTGCATCCCCTCCAGTGCTAGTTTATCTCTTCTTAAGTAAGGAGACCAAAACTGCACACAGTACTCCAGGTGTGACCTCACCAGGACCCTATACAGCTGCAGCATAGCCGCCCTGTTTTTAAACTCCATCCCTCTAGCAATGGCAGACAAAATTCCATTTCCCTTTTTAATTACCTGCTGCACCTGCAATCCTACTTTTAGCGATTCATGCACAAGGACACCCAAGTATCTCTGCACACCAGTTATACAATTATATTATTAATTATATCATACCAGTGAAAGGTGATTGGTGATCGTACGAGCAAATCTCAATAAAACATTTAGTAAAGGCTAAATACAACATGAATCTTTTTGTGTACTTACTTATTAATTGGCAACTCTGTAGAACAAAAGTAGCTGCTTTCCTTTGCTCCTCATCCTGGGATTCAGCTACTATTTGGATCATAAGTGGAAGCCCATTGCTTTGCAGTAGCTGATACTGATGTGCCTCTAAAATCAAATATTTTGGTTTTACTCTTTACATTTATTAACTAATGACAGATACAAATTGCCAAAAAGTAAAAGTCAAGCAGCATTATAGAAAATGAGATAAAGGCAGTTTGAGGATTCAGGGTAGACGATTTAGGATGGAGATGAGGAGACATTTTTTCACCCAAAGAGTGGTGAGCTTGTGGAATTCATTACCACAGGAAGTAGTTGATGCCAAAACATTGAATGTATTCAACAGGCGACTAGATATAGCACTTGGGGTAAATGGGATCAAAGGTTATGGGGAGAAAGCAGGATTAGGCTCTTGAGTTGGATGATCAGCCATGATCGTGAAGAATGGCAGAGCAGGCTCGAAGGGCCGAATGGCCTCCTCCTGCTCCTATGTAAATCTGAAACGAATGCAGAGAATGCTGAAGAAGGTTTGGCAACATCTGAGGAGAAAGATACAGAGTAGAAGCTTTGAGTCTGGCATGACTTCTTCACAACTGAATTGCTCAAAGTGATGCTGAGTTCTTTTCCGCATTCTCTGCTCTTTTTTATAGAAAAATGGGCAATTTTCAATTACAGAAGAATAAACAAAGATTTGCAAATGCTGGAAATCTGAACAAGTAACCAAAAAAGGTTGTTGTGAACATCAGTTCATGATTCATTTGTTTCAGAATATGATTTAATTTTAGGAATTTAAGTTTTAACTGTGAAAAAAATGAAAGCATCTGATTTCGAAACTATAACTCAAACAAGTTTGGAGTTAACTGCAGTGAAAAATCAGGGGAAAATTAATACCTCAACATGACACCTTGTGACTCAATGAAATCTAGTTAAATAACTTCATTTTCATCATTTCGTATTTGATTTGCCTGAAGCCAGGTACTTGACTATTAATGCTCTATTCGGAGCTGTTTCTTTTTTCTTGTCAGCGGTGGACTGCCATTGCTCTTCACTGTAAGAGGCAGGGCGAGGAGGCAGACCCCAAAACTACTTCAGCTAGAACAGGGTAAATACATATATACCAAAGTAAAATGCCTTTCTGTTCATTTTATTTTAGTGATGTCTACTGTGAAGTCCTTTTTTCAGACAAGTAATTTATATGTTCCTCATCACAATGTTTAATTTTGATCACAGAGAGCACTTCTTGGTAACTGAAATTCCTCAATTTCCGACAGCAGAGTATGCAACACATAACATGAGTTCCTTAATTTTTTTCCACTGAAGTCCTGTATAATGTATTCAGTACCAAATAAAATCTTGAGTCCAGAATGTACTTACAGGTTTTAGCAATACTTATTATAGTCTTTGAAATGATGCCATATCATTAATGAACAAGAAAAGTTTTAAACTCAGTCAAAATCTATCCAGTTGCACATTGTTGTCAATATCTGTCTACAATTTTAACAGAAATTATAATCTATTTATTTTAAAGTGACCAGCACTAATGTTAAAACTGCAAAACCAAAATACTGTGGATCCTAGAAATCTGAAATAAGAACAGGGTATTGGAAATACTCAGCAGATCAGGCAGCATCTTTTACAAGAAAATTAATGTTAATGTTGTATATCTGTGACTTTTTGTCAGTACTGCAGTAGAATAGGTCATTGATCTTCTTTCAGCACTGCTTTTGCACTGTTGAGACCACAGGTGGCAACCTCAGACCAGGCTGCCAGGATGTGGTGGCATGATCATCTCTGTCAACATCAGAACTACAGTACTGAGTGTTTATAGGCCTGAATGCTGTTTCTCTCACCACAGATACTGCTGGACCTACTGAGTATTTCTGGCTTGTTCTTACTTATGTTGTACAAGGGTTCTGCCAATATAAAGCATTCTTTTATAGGGAAACTGAATACTTTTCCCATTCCCCCAACTGAAAAGTCAGTCAGAAACACCAAAGAAAAACAACATCTGCCGCAATACACCCTAATTGGTGTTAATAAAGGAAGAGTGGGTCTTCTGCCCCTCAGTTGGAGGAAATCCTGCGATTCAGAGCTGCCAGCCGATGCAACTGATTGAACAACTATATTGCAGGGAAGTTTCCTACCGGTGGATGCCAAAAGGAAAATGATAAATATCATCTTTTTCAGAGTCTTCTCAATCTAACTTGATGAAATAAAATCACTGGCCCAGTCTAGTAATAAGGAAGATATCAGGTGTATATTGGGTAACAGCATGATCAGCTTTGATGACAGAAATTCCAGCCAAAACTTCACCCAGACTAATTCCACTAGTTCTTCAATTGGCTTTGGTGTACCATTTTGAGATAATACTCTCACACCTGATTGCTGTCCAGTGACCATTGCTCACGAATGCCATGCCTGTGGATATCAGAAGAAAGCTAACAGATTGAGCTCATTTATGAAGCCGGTCAAGGTCTAACAGAATGCTGCCACTTAATCTTACAACAGGGTCACTTCAAAAGGCCACTTGAGTGAGACTGAAAAGGTTTTCCATGGTTTAGGAGCTATAATCTAGATAAAGGTAGTTACTTTAGAAGTGAAGAGAAATATGATAAAAATAAGAAATGAGAAGAAAATATGTAGCAGATAACATTTACTTTTTGAAGACTTACAAATTCCCAATCTTTGAAATACTCAATTACTTGCAGTTCTTCATTTCATATGTTGTGACAAGCATGGAGAACTCTCAGCCTTTAGCTCCATTGTACCCATAGCTTTGCTGCTAATTTTCAGCAGTACTCTTACTAGGTTTAAGAGGTGTAAACGTATAAATATTTTGCTAGCGCAATCTCTGTCACTTACCACATCCATCAGTACAGTGCCCAATAGCAAGAATAATGCCCAATTTACTGCTTATGTCAAGATCATTCTGTAACAACAGTGCTACAAGCTTGGGTACGATAAAATATTCCGATAAGTGGGAAACCACAGGAGCTGTCAAAACATAAGCATGTCAGATATCATATTTTTACTTTATAGAGTGATAGTCATACAGTCACACAGCACAGAAACAGACTCTTCGGTCCAATCAGTCCATTCCAAACATAATCCCAAACTAAACCAGTTCCACCTACCTGCTACTGGACCGTATCCCTTCAAACCTTTCCTATTCATATATTCATCCAAATGTCTTTTAAACATTATAATTGTACCCGTATCCACCACTTTATCAGGAAGTTCATTCCACATGTGAACCACCCTCTGAGTAAACAATTTGCCTCTTATGTCTTTTTTTTAAATCTCTCTCCTCTCACCTTAAAAATGTGACCCCCCGTCTTGAAATTCCCCAAAAAATACATTTCCTTTTCAAATTAAAAATAAGGCCACATCCTTGTATTCTAGTCTCAGATATAAAAGGCCATAAATCTACTAGACTTTTAGATTTCTTTGTGAAGTTCCAAAATTTCTAGCTTCTTATCACTAATGAATTATCCTGTTGTATTTGTTTTAGGACTAAAGTGGATGAATTTACACTAAAATTAATTTACAGCTATTATAACCATTCATTTAATCTATAATACCTTCTTTTATTGTTGTGTTACAAGTAAACTACTTGGAGTTCTATCTATCTTTGTGTCATTGGCAAACTTGGATTTGTGAGCTTCTAACTAACCATCTAAATTGTTAATAAACACAATGAATAGTTGAATCCTCAAAATAGATTTTTGTGGGACACTACTAGTTACATTCTATCAATAAGCGAACCTGCCCTTTAAGCTACATTTTCTCTAATGGCACTCAGCTAATTTACTAATCAGGGCAATATTATTCCTTCAGTTTTTTCAAGCAATGATGTGGAGGCATTAACAGTAATAGTCTTGTCACCTAGACACTTACGTTAATACAATGGTTACATGGCAGATGGTGAAATTTGAATTTAATTAATCTGGAATTAAAAGCCAGTCTAATGGTAGACATGAGACCATTGTCAATCGTTGTAAAAGTCCACTTGGTTCACTTATTTACTTTAGGAAAGAAAAATTCACCATCCTCACCTGGGCTGGCCTACGTGTGACTCCAGATCCATTGTAATGTTGTTAACTGTTAAATGTCCTCCAAAATAACCTAGCAAGCCATTCTGTGTATCTAGATGCTACAAAGTCTGGCAAAAGGAATGAAACTAGACAGACCACCTGGCATCAACCAAGGCACCAAAAATGACAATGTTACACACAAACCTATCAACCCTGCAAAGTCCTCCTTACTGGGGTACTTGGGCCAAAATTGGAATAGGTGTCCTACAGGCTAGTCAAAAGACAGCCTGACAGAGTCATACCCACAGAAGCATATCAGGCAGACGATGTCCCAGACACCCATTATCACCATCCCTGGATATGTCCTGTCCGACCAATAGACCCACCAGGGATGATGGCATGCTGGTATTCAGTCAGAACAGAAACATCAAAATTAAGATGCCCAGACCCCATGATGTCTTATGGCATCAGGTGAAAACCAGGCAAGAAAATTTTCTGATTACCACGTAACCAGCAACCCCACCCTTGGCCTGCCTCTTCATGCTGATCACCACTTAGAGAATGCACTAAGGGTGGCAAGGATACAGAATGTATGTCTGGTGAGGAACTTCAATGTGCATCACTAAGAATGGGATGGTTGCACTCTTACTGACCAAGCTCATTCAGTTCTAAAGGACACAGGTGCTAGAATGGGTTGGCAGCAGGCAGTGAGAGAACAAAGAAGTGAGAAAAACCATTTGACCTCATCCTCACCAATCTATTTGTCAAACATCTGTCTACAACAGTATGGGTAATAACTAAGCACTTCAAAGTCCCATTTTCACATTGAACATACCCTCCATTGTGTTGCATGGCACAACCACTGTGCTGAAGGGATAGATTTTGAACAGATTTTGCTATGGGCCATCAACAATAGCAGAATTTTATTCAACCACAATCTGTAAACTCATGGCCTGGCATATCTGCCCACTGTGCAATTATCTGGAAAGAAGAAGTGCAGGAAGGCATGCCAGGTATCGCATCAAGTATACCTAAAATGACATGTCAACTTGGTGAAGCTACAACATGGGGTACTTGCAAGTCAAGCAGCCTAAGCAGCATGTGATACACAAAGTTAAGCAATTCCACAACCAGTGGATTAGATCTGAGCTCTGCAGTCCTGTCTCATCAAGTTGTGACTAGTCATGGACAATTGAACAACTCACTAGAAAAGGAGGGTCTACAAATATGCCCACTCTCAATAGTGGGTCTGTAAATGTAATATTGGCCTTCAATGCAAGAGGACTTGAGTTCAGAATTGAATTCAGGACCCTGGTGAGATCACACTTATTGTCATTTCTTCACTGCCACTGGGTTAAAATCCTGAAACTTCCTAACAGCATTGTGGTGTACCTAACACCAAATGGACTGCAACAGTTCAAAAAAGCAGCTCACCACCACCTTCTCAAAGGCAATTAGGGATGGGCAATAAATGCTGGCTGAGCCAGCAATACCCACATTCTAAGAATGAACTAGCAAAAAACAGTCAGATTCATCAGGTATGACTTAACCATTACAAATCCTTGCTGCCTCTTTTTTGTAAGTGAAATTTTTAAACAAAATAATACAAAGAACTGCAGACTTTCAACATGTTTTCAAGCTTCTGATTTAAATTTAATTACAGGTTCACTGGCACAGTAGTCTCTTCTGTGTCTTTCCACAGCTGACTTTCCTCATTTGTGACCCCAGACCAGTGTATTTTGGGTCAAAAATTGGTTGGAGAGAAGAACAGAATGTTGACATTAAAGTCAGCTCTCAGAAACATTTGAAGTCGGTAGCAGCTTACCAAGGATGCAATTTTGGGGTCACTTTTTTTATTGTGTATATCAATGATTTGGATAGAGGGACAAGTACCAAAATAACAAAATAGAAGGTATAAAAGCTGCAAAGGAATATTGAAAAGTGAAACAGGTTCATAAATTCATATGGAAATCATCTTAATAGGTGTGAGGTGATGCATCTTGTTAAAAAGTGTAAATGTACTCTGGAGGTAAATTAAGTGTTATGTTACAATGAGGGCTTGAGATGGGGAACAAATTTATAGAACATTAAAAGATAGCACCTAGTGATAATCATGCTGTTAAAAAAAAGTCAATGGGTTCTATACTTTAGCAGAGTATCAATAAGCAGTACAAAACGAGCAAACCTTAGGTAGGAATATTGGCTCCACACCACAGCAGGATTTGGAAGCTGCATGCAGGTTTGTATAGACATGTCCTAGCATGTGCAGATACAATTATGAAGGAAAATTGAAAAAATTAGGCTTTTCTGTGAAAAGAATGTAATTATTGGAAGAGTATGACATCAATCATTAAAATTAGGTGACATTGGAACAGCAGAGATAGAATCAGATTGTTTCCAATAGTTGAGGCACCTAGAACAAGGTAAACGTTTAAATAGAAGTGTTCTACAACAAAGTCAAATAAACTACTTTACATAAAACACTGAAGCTGTGCCATTCCTTTCTTGGATTAATAGCCAAGGCAGAAACTAATTCAAGGTTAGATTAGATAGGTGGATTAAGGAAAATAGGTTGAATGGATTTAGAAATAGGGTAGAGTAATTGCCACTATTTGTTCATACTTTAACAATGGCTGTATAGACTGGCTGAGTCAAATTGGAATTCACTGCCACAGAAGGCTGTGGAGGCCAGGTCATTGAGTACATTTAAGACTGAGATAGATAGGTTCTTGATAATCAAGGGGATCAAAGGTTATGAGGAGAAACTGGGAGAATGGGTTTGAGGCACTTATCAACCATGATTGAATGGCGGAGCAGACTCGATGTGCTGAATGGCCTAATTTCTGCTCCTATGTCTTATGGTCTTATGGAAGTCATGTCTCACAACTTGATAGAGTTTTTTGATGAACTGACAAAGACGATTGATATGAGCAGAACAAGGCCGCTCGTGGCAGGCGGGTATAGAAGGTGAAGTCATGTGGGATTTGTGGTGAGCTGGTAAGATGGATACAGCCGTGAGGAAGGGTCACTGTACTCGAAACATTAATTCTGATTTCTCTCCACAGATGCTGCCAGATGTGCTGACCTTTACCAGCAATTTCTGTTTTTGTTTCTGATTTCCAGCATAAGCAGTTCTTTCCAATTTTATTAAGATGGATACAAAACTGCCTTGGTCATAGAATACAGAGATTAGTGGAGGAAGGGGGTTGGGTTTACTGACTGGAGTTTTGTAACAGTGGTATTCTGCAGGGATCAGTCCGGGACCCCTGTTGTTTCTAATGATTTGGATGAGAATAAAGGTGAAATAACTCCACAGAGGCCAGTACCCCATCACCAAGGTGTCCTTTATTTACATGTGTATAGCACTTGACAGTGGTCTGGATTTCTCAGAGCCAGCTCTCAGAGAGAACAGAACCTCGAACATTCCTTTTTATATCTGTCAGCCAGGGCTCCCTGATTGGACCAGGTTAACTGCCCCAATCAGGGAACTCATATTCAATGAAGTCCACCTGGCTGACCTCGTTACAATTACTACATCCCTCTCCTTCTAAGCAGGGAACATTAGCCTGTTCTTCTTGTAGCCTCTCCTGCAGTGTTTTCACACTCAATCCGGTTCCTTAGACTCCTCTCATGTCAGATACAGGCAGCGTGTAGCCTGCTTCCTGCGCCTGGAGAGTCCTGGAAGCAATTCATCCTCTTCTTCAGAAGGTAAAGGCATTAAGGCTGCTACATCTGCCGTGTCCATCTCAGACTCCAAGGTTTCTTCGATGCTAAATGGAGGGGGAGAACCTAGATGAGTATGCCACCACTGTCACGGACTTCATTAGCAATTGCGTAGAGGATTGCCTGCCAAAGAAGTAAATCTGTGTGTTCCCCAACCGGAAACCTTGGATGAACCAGGAAATCCACTGCCTATTGAAGACCAGGCATGCAGCTTTCAAGTCAGGCAAACCAGACCTA